CACCATCCTCTTAACCTTTTCCAGATGAGATTCGTACTGGCACTTATCGTCAGCTCTTCCATCCAGAGCAACTAATCACCGGAAAGGAAGATGCTGCCAACAACTATGCCCGTGGACATTACACCATTGGCAAGGAGATCATTGACTTGGTGTTGGATAGGATTCGCAAACTGGTAATAACTGCAATGCATGACGGGGGGATTTAGACTTTTTGGAGGAATGGAAGGAACTCTGCCTAAAACTGGTGGAGATGTTGGGATAGCGGGGCTTCGTGGTCCAGGATGGCTGTTGGTTATTTATGCACTTTCTGGATAATTCTAGGCATTATTTTGCCATGTTACACTTCTTTGGAGGGTGGGTAGTTGTATTTCATTTCATTATTCCATTTATTCATGTTGTTGGGCTTTAGAAGTTGAGGATGCTGAGTGCAATGCAAATGAATGGGAAATACAGAACTCTTCCTTTATGCTTCACCCTTGTCTTTTTACGTCATTCTGACTAGAAAGAATAATCTGTCCCCCTGATTCTAATCACTGTTACTGTATGTGATGTTCCCCAATTCTAATTTTGTCTCAGCCACTCATTATTCCTTTAGGCCAGTGTTCCTCAATCTCAGCAACTTTTAAAATATGTGAACTCCCAACTCCCAGAATTCCCCACACGGCTTAAAGTTGCCAAGGTTGAGAAACACTGCTTTGGGGCCTATACCTTTCATGTCCCTGCATTGCTCTACCCATCTCCGCCTATTCATAAGTGCTCCTTCCCCTGTAAAGGTAATAACATTGCTCTGGATTTATATACTAATTCCTAAGAAAGCACTCTCAGTTCAAAATGTTGTTGTCTTTGCTCTTCCAAACTTTTATCACTTCTTTTTAGTTCCTCTTTATCTGCTCATTGCTTGCTCGCTCTTTTTTTCCCTTGCTTCTAACTGTGGTCAGAAGCTTCTTTGAATCTCTGGGGAGGAAGGATATGTGGGGGGAGGGGTTTGCAGCTGATTGGCAAGTAGTCCCTCTTCCTTCCTGGAACCAAGTGCAAGTTCTCAGGACACTTGAACTTGGTATACTTGACATTCCAGTGAATTTCTTCATTGCACTCTAGCCAACCCTGTTACCTTGTGTAATTGGTTGCCATAATAGTAATACCAGGTGCTGCCTTCTAACCTTGAAAAATTACTTGCTGTTAATTAATTATGAAACAGAAAAGATGCCATGCCTGGCTTGGTTGTATAAGGAGATTTTGTGTGTGTAGTTAATGATTTGGAGCTAATATCCTGAGGCACAAGAAAATGACCTCCAAGTAACCAATTTGTTGAGACAGAAATCTGTAGAAAGTAAATAAAATAGTGGAATGGGTTTTCTTGTTCAGATTTGCCAGGTAAGAATAATACTTTGCATTGTAACCTAAGACATACAAACTGATGGGTGATAATTTCTTTTTCACAGGCTGACCAATGTACAGGACTCCAAGGATTTTTGGTCTTTCACAGCTTTGGAGGAGGAACTGGCTCAGGATTTACTTCCTTGCTGATGGAACGTCTCTCTGTTGATTATGGCAAGAAATCCAAATTAGAATTTGCTATTTACCCAGCTCCACAGGTCTCCACAGCTGTGGTGGAGCCCTACAACTCAATCCTCACCACACATACCACCCTTGAGCACTCAGATTGTGCTTTCATGGTGGACAACGAAGCCATCTATGACATTTGCCGACGAAACCTTGACATTGAGCGCCCCACCTACACCAATTTGAACAGGTTGATAGGCCAGATTGTGTCCTCCATCACTGCCTCTCTGCGCTTTGATGGGGCTCTGAATGTAGACCTGACAGAGTTCCAGACCAATCTAGTGCCCTACCCTCGTATCCATTTCCCTCTGGCTACCTATGCTCCGGTCATCTCTGCAGAGAAGGCCTATCACGAGCAGCTTTCTGTGGCTGAGATCACAAATTCTTGCTTTGAGCCTGCTAACCAGATGGTGAAGTGTGACCCCCGCCATGGCAAATACATGGCCTGCTGCCTTTTGTATCGAGGGGATGTGGTGCCTAAAGATGTCAATGCTGCCATTGCTGCCATTAAGACCAAGCGCAGCATCCAGTTTGTAGACTGGTGTCCTACAGGCTTTAAAGTGGGCATCAATTACCAGCCTCCCACTGCAGTTCCTGGGGGAGACCTAGCCAAAGTTCAGCGGGCAGTGTGCATGCTGAGCAACACCACAGCCATTGCTGAGGCCTGGGCCCGCCTGGATCACAAGTTTGATCTAATGTATGCCAAGCGGGCCTTCGTGCACTGGTATGTTGGGGAAGGGATGGAAGAAGGGGAGTTCTCTGAGGCTCGTGAAGATATGGCCGCTCTAGAGAAGGATTATGAAGAGGTGGGCCTTGATTCATATGAAGAGGAAGAGGAGGGAGAAGAATAGCTATAAATGCTCTACTTTGTCTGGACCGTCTTCTTCATTAAAGCAAGCTTGACTTGTATCTAAACTACAGTGATGTGTTTGTCCCAGACAGAATTCACATGGAGCATTTCTTATCTAATGCAATTTTTGCTCAGAGCTTGTCTAGTAGTTCTGGCTGCCTTACTTGACAAAGGAAATATATGTAATTGTAAACTGAACAGCATAGCCTAAAAAACACACCATCTCTACTGATAATTTTGGCAAAGTAATAAAATTTTCGGTTACAATATAGACTTTGCACATTACCTTGAAACAATTATGTCTGCACCCATTCGATATCACTTCCCACAAAAGCAAATTCATCTTTTGATACAAAACTTTAAATCAAAGAATGAGGACATTTTGATTTAAAATAAGAATTGAATTAGTTGAAGAAACTGAGCTTATTTCTGAACAATAAATTATTCACCTATTTTCCAGCTGTGGAAATTCTATACTTCTTTATATATTTTGGGAATAAAAGTTGCCTTTTAAAATACTATGTTTTATGAACTGCAGGTGTCAGAATAGGATGCCAGGCTACAATGTTGCAAAAACCAACAAACTACCAAGTAACATTTTAAATCCAAGCCATTCCATTAAAAGCACTGTGATTGGCCCAAACCTATCATAGACATTAAGTCTTGAGCATGTATCTGATTTTTGTTTATTGAAACCCATGAAAGAAAAAAGTTCAGAAAATCTTAATGGGACTGTGCTCAAGCTGAGATCTTGTTAGCTTTAACAGTGCAATAGTAACTGCATTCAATAGTTATGCTGAGCCAGGTTCACAATCACTTGTATAGCAAATGTTCAGAAAATACCTTAACTCTGCTAGTGTATCTCATAAACAAAGGCGCAATTCTCTATTTGCTGCCCCCTTCAGGGAAGAGGAGCCAAGGGTGGGCCCAAAGTTGAGACCTGGGCCTTGTCTTCAGCCCTAGCATCACTGCTACCACTAAAAAAAGGCCACCTCATTCCCTTGAGGTGCAGTTGGCCCATGGCCAGTGCTCCACAGGATCTGCACCACTATAGGCGGAGTTCTGTTTCTGTAGATGGGTATCTGTGGTCTACCCAAGGCTCCTTCAGGTTGCACAAGGGTTTTATTCTTAAAGCAATTTTGGAGAATGCTCTTCGACAGCCTCTGCAGCTCCCAAATTCTGTCCCAGTTCTGTGATTTTCAGGGGTTTCAGAGGCCGTGCATGGTCCTCTTGTGACTTCCAGAAGATCATGCAAGAGCACATCGCATACGTGTGCAGCTTCTGAATATTGCAAGAAAGCATGCACCTGTTCTTGCGAGGTTTTTGGTGGAGCTGGAGGCAGTATCTGAGTGCATCCCATTCTCATACAGCCTCCACAGTATCTGAAAATTGTGCAAGAACAGGACATGGTTTTTTGGGGGTGGGTAAATATTGGCATGTCATTCAAAATCAGCATGTCAAGTTCAGCCGTGGTAGCTTTGCCATCCCCAAGTCATATTATTTTGCATATTCCTGGCTGCTACATTTGGCCCTTAATCAAAAATATCTCTTGATCAGTTTCCATTTTACAGCTACTGTACATATGGTACAATTGGCCTTCGTGCTGCATCCTCTAAAAAAGTTAAAATCTTATTGCCTTCCTGCATTTTCCTTGGATATGTTATCCCCCCTTTGAGTAAATTCAAATGTCTTAATGAAGAGACTTACAAAGACTAAAATTCTAATATTCCTGCTAGCACATTGACTGTTCTGATGTTGGGGGCCACTGCTTCAGAAGAAAGCTACTCTAGGTTGGGCAGGGATATATGCATGTTTCACAACTGATAGGGAAAACTGAAAAGGAGTTACAGTAATCATAGTATACTGACACCCCACCCCCTACCATGCCTGGTTCAGCAAAAATCTATATTGTATATGCCATCTTTTTATACAGACTGTATACTAGTAGTCTCTTCCCTCCATTTCTGTTCTAACTGGGTTATATCACAGAAATGAAAGCTAGAAGCACCATCACCTTTAAAAAGTGATGGGTGTTGTAAGGACATACGTTTTATTCCTGAAACTGGTATTAATGTCACCAATTTATTTTCTTTAAATAGAGTCAGACTTACCTTGCTATGCCACAAGGCTTTAAAAAGCAACTAATCCATGTTGCATATGTGCTACATGAGTGTATGAAAAAGAAAACCTTTTCTTTTGAGCTACATTCCAATGAAATAACATTCAGAATGGTGTGAATATCCTGTACCAGTTTCAAAAAACTGCACTCTTGTCACAGGGATATAATGAGAACAATACAAGTTCTTTGCTCCGTCATTTTTCACTCTATAGCTAGAAAAAAACTGCTATTCTTTGCTGGTGACTATCGGTGATGTGATATACAAAAATTGTTTTTGGAAAAAGGAAGTCATGTTTTAATTCTGGATTCCTTTCAGTCTGGTTTCAGGCCTGGGTACAGCACTGAAACCGCTTTGGTTGCACTGATCGATGATCTCTGGTGGGCCAGAGATAGAGGGCATTCCTCTATCCTGGTGCTTCTTGACCTCTCAGCGGCTTTCGATACCATCGACCATGGTCTGGAGGAGGTGGGAGTGAGAGGCACCGT